CCGCACACAAAACAGCAAGATATAGAAGTTGTTTCAAATTCACTGCAGCGAAAATTTGGAATAACCTCCCCCCACCCATGAGCAAAAAATGTCAATAGATTGCTTCAAAGCCAAGTATAAATTGGCTCTGTTAAAAAGACAACTCGCTGCAGAGAATTTGAAACATCCCTATGTTAAGTTTTTACATTTACGGGACTTTTTTGTCAAAAATTAATAAGGATACACACACACATCACACACACACACACACACACACACACACACACACACACACATACACACACACACACACACACACAAACACAAATACACACATATAAGTTCAAAGAAAGGAAAGTTTATTTTATATTTTCTATTTCTCGTGTTGTTTTTGAATCGGTTGTTATTTCATTTCGTAATGGTTGTTTTATGCATATTTTTAAATGTTTTTATTTTGTCTTTCAAGTTTTTAATCTTTTTTTTTTTGTATTTGCGATTTAATATTTATATAATATTTTTTTTAATTAAAATAATATTTTATATTGATATAATATTTAATTACTTTGTACGTAGTTTAAAAGTAAAAGTCAGGTAAATGGGGAGCCTGCTACTTTGGACTCCCGCACAACACCTCAGGGAGGAGGGAGCGGCTGAAAAACAGCTCTGTATGAGATCTGTATCTCGTTACAGACAAAGCTGAGCCGTCTCCTTTTGTCTCAAATAATTATAATGTTCTTTTGTTTTAACGTGAATGTAACTGTGTGTTTTAGAGGCAATACATTTATTATTATTGTGGGGTATCAACATAGTTTTCTCATCTGGTTGGGTTTTATAAATATATAATTATAAATGAAAATGAAAAGATAAATATACATAAATATCAATAAAATAAACTAAATATAAAAATAAATAAATAAATAAGAGCCCAACCAGATGGAGGCCCTCGGCAGGGGAGACCAAACGGCCGAGGGTTAGGGGGAAAGGAAAAGAAACCGGCGGACGATGCGGGCGGTATCGAGGTTATTATTATTATTATTTATTTTTATCACATATATTATCACAAAACTATAATATTATAAATATAAATACAATCTATATAAATAATATTATTATTTCGGTTATTATTCCACCGCGGCGAGGAATTCCAAGCCATCGGTGAAGTTAGGCATCCAAAGATAGGAACCTTCTTACTATTCGAGCAGTATTTAATAAGGCCGATTTTTGAATTAATGCCTTCAGCCATTTGCCAAAACCTAACTTGGACAGATAATCGTCCATATTTTTACCAATAAGCCCATTGACTGAAACAACTATTGGTACAATAATAGTAGAATCAACGTCCCACATAGCGACAATCTCATGAGCCAGGTCGATATATTTAATTTTTTTATCATTCTCTGCTTTTACGAGATTCTCGTCATGAGGAACACTGATATCCGCTATTATTGCCTTGCGTGTAGTTCGGTCTATCACCACAATGTCAGGTTTATTTGCCACTATAAACCTGTCTGTGATAATTGACCGATCCCAGTAGCGTGACACTTCTATTTTCAAGGACTGGCTTTGGTTCATACTTATAATATGGAACGTCCTGTTGAGTAAAGCCAAATTTAATGGCAAGCTGTTGGTGTATTATTCTAGCTACTTGGTTATGTCTGTGCAAATACTCACCATTTGATAGTTGTGAACGCCCGGAAATAACATGTCTGAGGGACTCTCCAGGGTGGTGACATGCGCGACATACGTCAACTGTGCCGTCCCTCAGAATCTATCTCCGGTAGTTGTTCGTTTTAATTACTTCATCTTGTATTGCACAGATAAAACCTTCAGTTTCTGCGAAAAGGTCACCAAATTGTAACCAATGTACCGATGCAACCATGTCTACACAAGGATTAGTCAATGCTTTAAAAAATCGACCATGCAGTTGTTTGTCATTCCAAACCTTTTTGCGTTCATCCATAGTCATAGTATGAGGTCTCTGCCAGTCCTTTGCTGACATATTAAGCGGGGTTAATGATTTGTCATTAATCACTACGTCATTATGAATGTGTGATGTGTCTTTTTTTTAATAAAATAGTCTCTGAGGTTGTATATATTATTATTATTATTATGGGGTATCTATATAGTTTTCTCATCTGGTTGGGTTCTATAAATATATAATTATAAATGAAAATGAAAAGATAAATATACATAAATATCAATAACATAAAATAAATATAAAAGTACATAAATAAATAAAAGCCCAACCAGATGGAGGCCCTCGGCAGGGGAGACCAAACGGCCGAGGGTTAGGGGGAAAGGGAAAGAAACCGGCGGACGATGCGGGCGGTATCGAGGAGCACCGCCTTCTGCATTTGAACCTGGAGCGGTCCGCCACGTAGTCCCAGCCGCCTCAGATGACCCGAGAGGCTGACTGGGATTAGCCCGTTTGCAGAGACGACTACAGGAATAATTTCGGTCGGCAGACCACCCCACATGTCGGTCACCTCGTGAGCCAGGTCCAGATATTTTGTTTGCTTGTCTGTTTCGGCTTTCACGAGGTTCTCGTCATACGGAATGGTAATGTCGATCAAAAATATCCCTGACTGTGCCCGGTCCACCAGCACAATATCAGGCTTATTCGCAAGAATAGTCCTGTCTGTGATGATGGCCCGGTCCCAATAGAGCCTGGCGCGATCATTTTCGAGCACGGCTTCCGGCAAGTACTTGTAATACGGCAATTTCCGGTCCACGAGACCGTATTTCAGAGCGAGCTCCTGGTGTAGAATTCTGGCTACTAGGTTGTGCCTGTGCAAGTACTCAGAGTTAGAAAGCGCCGAACAACCGGAGATAACATGCCTAAGTGACTCACCGGGATGGCGACAAGCTCGACAGATGTCGACGGTGCCATCCTTTAGGATGTATCTCCGATAGTTGTTGGTCTTAATAACCTGATCCTGTATTGCACAGACAAAACCCTCGGTTTCCCCGAAGAGATCACCAAAGCGTAGCCAGTGGAGGGAGGCTACTGTGTCTACGAAAGGCTCATGTAGAGCCTTGTAGAACCTCCCGTGGAACTCCTTCTCCTTCCATACGGTCTCCCGGTCGGAAATGCTCTGCACTGCCGGGTCTTGCCATTGCTCGTTGGCTAAGAATAGAGGGGTAAGTCCTTTATCACAAGAAATGACGTCCTTATAGAATGGATCATCAGATCTCGCCAGGAAGTAATCACGGAGGCTGCACACTTCGCGATTATGCATGGTGAGCGCGCTCAAGAAGCCACGACCACCATGCTTCCGCGACAAGTACAGCCTCATTACCGACGATCTCGGATGATGCATCCTATGGGACGTCATGGTAGTGCGGACTTTTCTATCCAGGGCGTTAAGTTCAGTCTGAGTCCACCTGAGTATGCCAAAGGTATACATGAGGACAGGCATGACCCAGCCGTTATATGCGTGTGCCTTATTCACACCGGACAAAAGGCTGTTAAGCACTTTGGTCAAGCGTGCATAAAACACGTCGCAAACTGACTGTTTCTCGAACTGACCAGTCTCATCGATACCGATGTTTTGTGACATACCCAGGTATCGGTATGTTTCAGCCTCGGAAAGGGTTCTTAAGTTGACGGGCATAGATAAGTCTACGTCCTCAGAGTTAGCAACCCCTTCCCCTTTCAACATGGAGGACCGCACACTTATCCGTCCCAAGCTCCATTCCAATGGAATTGCTAAATTCACAAGCGATGTTTAGCAATTCCATAAGATGGGAGCGACTGGAGGTGAATAACTTGAGGTCATCCATATAGAAAAAGGTGGGTCACTTTTGTCCCTCCTTTCCGTAGCTGAAATCCCCTCCCGGAGCCCTCCAGTAAGGTACTGAGAGGGTTCAGAGAGAGGCAGAACCAGATTGGACTCAGACAATCGCCCTGGAAGATACCCCTTCTTATCCTTATGTGGTTCTCCGCAGCCATCATCCGCTCGCCCAGATGACAAAGGATCGTACTCCACTGCCCCATACACTGCTCGAGGAAGTCTCTAACTGTACAGTCTATCTTGTACAGCTCGAGGACTCTCTTTAGCCATGTATGGGGCACCGAGTCGAATGCCTTTCTGTAGTCTATACAGGCGGCGGAGAAGTTCCGACGGTTGCGTTTCACCACTTTGCCAATGACCGCGTCAATGAGGAGTGGTTTCTTGGTTCCACGACCACCGCCCCGACATCCATTTAGAGCGCGCGACATCACCTGATTTGAGTCCAGGTGACAAGTGATTCTCGCGCTCAAAATGGATGTTAGTGTCTTGTATATGGTCGGTAGACACGTGATGGGGCGGTATTTGCTCGGGTCTGTGGTACCCTGGTCTTTAGGAACCAAATGAGTGATCCCAGTAGTGAAGAGGCTTGGGAGCGACTTCTGGTTGAGAGCCTCTTGAAACTGTCGGGCGAGCACAGAGTGACACACCATGAACCCCTTCAGCCAGTAGTGATGCAGCCCGTCAAGTCCCGGACTTTTCCAGTTCGGGGCCCTACGGACCGCCTCAGCTACGTCATCCGGCGTTATGATGACGGGGTCCATGGGCGTAATACCCGCACACTGACTCGCCACAACTTCCGTCCAAGGGCCCTCGCTGTGGTTTACGGGCTCTGACCACAGGCCGCGCCAGAATGCTACAGTGTCGGCCTGATTCGGTGCTGGACCCGTTCCACTTACCATTGGTCGCTCCAATGATTCATAGAGCCTCTTCTGATCACTCTGGAAGAGACGATTCTGGTTGAACCGTGTCGACCTCTCGGTATATCGCCGAATCCGCTTTCCCCAAGCAGCGATTCTCTGCTTCAGATCATCTATGCGCTCCGTCAGTTGTTGCGTTATATCCGGCTGGGACAAACTGACATAATTTGTCCCAGCAAACGCCATCCTGACGGTGCGCACAATTCTTGGCCTGTTGTTGCCTGATCTGAAGCATATCAGTCTGCCGATGAGAGCTCTAGCCTTTGCGATACGTTCCTCAATTCTTCTTCTCCATGCTGGGATAGCGCTACTATAGCCAGTAGCGCGTCCAGCCGTGGAAACCTTGGCGCCTATGATACGGCAGACTGCCAGCGCGGCGCCAAAAAGAATTGAGTCCGTCTCGCAAAAGGTCCCGGCTGGATTCCAAATAGGTCACCAGCATTGGGTTCAGAGCCCTCACGACAGCCCGATTCCGCTTGCTTAGGGCTATGCGGGGAAGTCGCGGTCGATTTTCGAGAGGCGTACTGCGCGTTTCCACAATCGCCTCTTCCAATGTACTCCTCATATGCTCTAATTCCAGTTCCTGGGTGACTGTTCCATCATCGCTTGAATCAACCACAACTGGGGTATTCACGGCGGCATCCACGTTTGCGGGTTGCTCTACCATTTGTGGCGCCGCATCCTCAGCCGTAGCATTCTCATCCGACGAGGGAACAGCCTCACGTCGTAGCCGTTCGAGTTCGGCGACATCAAATATATTTGAGCGCAAGATATACCGAACTCGGTCTGCCAGGTTTTGCTCTGTGACGGTTAAAGATGGCTCCAGCTCAGCAAAAAGACGATGCATCCTAGCCCGATACGCCAAACATCCAGTTTCTCCCCCTTTCGCCCTAAAATACGCCCGCAATGCGTTGCTGTTCATCTGGGTTGCCCAACGCATGCGGCGTACTCCACCAGAGGCGGGTGCCGATTGCTGGGCCCGCGAAGACCCTGCCGACACCAAGCCAGCTGGTGGGGATGATGGATGCGAGGGGCTGCTGGGTGGTCGTGCAGCACCTCGCGCTCGGCTGGCGGTTCGCATGCTGCCGCGTCCAGCGCCAGCTCCAGACGCGCCCTGGCGACCTCCAGGCAGCGGCCCTTTGCGCGTTCTATTTAATTCCATCATCCATTTTTAGGGCGTCATTTAGCGGGAGACGCCCAGACCCGGCGCCGTTTCATTTTGAGGCCATGTGCACAAGCGGGCCTTTGCACCTTCAATTTTTGCCGAGGCACGGCACTAACACCTCTTGGCAAGGTGCTGACTGACTGCGCTGACGTAGCGGTTTTGTCACATAACCGTTACGTCAGCGGGCGATGGGGTCGTCACTTCCCTACGCCTTATTATTATTATTATGTGTGGGGTATCTATATAGTTTTCTCATCTGGTTGGGATGTATAAATATATAATTATAAACGAAAATGAAAGGATAAATATACATAAATATCAATAAAATAAAATAAATACAAAAATACATAAATAAATAAAAGCCCAACCAGATGGAAGCCCTCGGCAGGGGAGACCAAACGGCCAAGGGTTAGGAAGAAAGGGAAAGAAACCGGCGGACGATGCGGGCAGTATCAAGGAGCACCGCCTTCTGCATTTGAGCCCGGAGCGGTCCGTCACGGAGTCCCAGTCGCCTCAGATGACCAGAGAGGCTAACTGGGATTAGCCCATTCGCAGAGACGACTACAGGAATAATTTCGGCCGGCAGACCACCCCACATGTCCGTCACCTCGTGAGCCAGGTCCAGATATTTTGATTGCTTATCTGTTTCGGCTCTCACGAGGTTCTCGTCATACGGGATGGTAATATCGACCAAAAATATCCTTGACTGTGCCCGGTCCATCAGCACAATATCAGGCTTATTCGCAAGAATAGTCCTGTCTGTGATGATGGCCCGGTCCCAGTAGAGTCTGGCGCGGTCATTTTCGAGCACGGCTTCCGGCAAGTACTTGTAATACGGCAATTTCCGGTCCACGAGACCGTATTTCAGAGCGAGCTCCTGGTGTAGAATTCTGGCTACTAGGTTGTGCCTGTGCAAGTACTCAGAGTTAGAAAGCGCCGAACAACCGGAGATGACATGCCTAAGTGACTCCCCGGGATGGCGACAAGCTCGACAGACGTCGACGGTGCCATCCTTTAGGATGTATCTCCGATAGTTGTTGGTCTTAATAACCTGATCCTGTATTGCACAGACAAAACCCTCGGTTTCCCCCGAAGAGGTCACCGAAACGTAGCCAGTTGAGGGAGGCGACTGTATCTACGAAGGGCTCATGTAGAGCCTTGTAGTACCTCCCGTGGAGCTCCTTCTCCTTCCATACGGTCACCCGGTCGGAATTGCTAAGCTCTGCTGGGTCCTGCCATTGCTCGTTGGCTAAGGATAGAGGGGTAAGCCCTTTATCACTAGAAATGACGTCATTATAGAATGGATCATCCGATCTCGCCAAGAAGTACTGACGGAGACTGCACACTTCGCGATTATGCATGGTGAGCGCGCTCAGAAAGCCACGCCCACCATACTTCCGCGGCAAGTACAGCCTCATTACCGACGATCTCGGATGATGCATCCTATGGGACGTCATGGTAGTGCGGACTTTTCTATCCAGGGCGTTAAGCTCAGTCTGAGTCCACCTGAGTATGCCAAAGGTATACATGAGGACAGGCATGACCCAGCCGTTATATGCATGTGTTTTATTCACACCGGACAAAAGGCTGTTAAGCACTTTGGTCAAGCGTGCATAAAACACGTCGCAAACTGACTGTTTCATACCAGCCTCATCGATACCGATGTTCTGTGACATACCCAGGTATCGGTATGTTTCAGCCTCGGAAAGGGTCCTTAAGTTGACGGGCATAGACAAGTCTATGCCCTCAGAGTTAGCAACCCTTCCCCTTTCAACATGGAGGACCGCACACTTATCCGTCCCCAGCTCCATTCCAATGGAACTGCTAAATTCACAAGTGATGTTTAGCAGTTCCATAAGATGGGAGCGACTGGAAGCGAATAACTTGAGGTCATCCATATAAAAAAGGTGGGTCACTTTTGTCCCTCCTTTCCGTAGCTGAAATCCCCTCCCGGAGCCCTCCAGTAAGGTACTGAGAGTGTTAAGAGAGAGGCAGAACCAGATTGGACTCAGACAATCGCCCTGGAAGATACCCCTTCTTATCCTTATGTGGTTCTCCGCAGCCGTCATCCGCTCGCCCAGATGACAAAGGATCGTACTCCACTGCCCCATACACTGCTCGAGGAAGTCTCTAACTGTACAGTCAATCTTGTACAGCTCGAGGACCCTCTTTAGCCATGTATGGGGCACCGAGTCGAACGCCTTTCTGTAGTCTATCCAGGCGGCAGAGAAGTTCCGACGGTTGCGTTTCACCACTTTGCCTATGACCGCGTCAATGAGGAGTGGTTCCTTAGTTCCACGACCACCGCCCCGACATCCATTTTGAGGGCGTGACATCACCTGGTTTAGCTCCAGGTGACGAGTGATTCTCGCGCTCAAAATGGATGTCAGTGTCTTATATATGGTGGGTAGACACGTGATGGGGCGGTATTTGCTCGGGTCTGTGGTATCCTGATCTTTAGGAACCAAGTGAGTGATCCCAGTAGTGAAGAGGCTCGGGAGTGACTTCTGGTCGAGAGCCTCTTGAAACTGTCGGGCGAGCACAGCGTGACACACTACGAACCCCTTCAGCCAGTAATGATGCAGCCCGTCGAGCCCCGGACTTTTCCAGTTCGGGGCCCTACGGACCGCCTCAGCCACGTCTTCTGGCGTTATGGTGATGGGGTCCATAGGCGTAACACTCGCACCCTGGCTCGCCACAACTTCCATTCAAGGGCCCTCACTGTGGTTTACGGGCTCTGACCACAGGCCACGCCAGAATGCGATAATGTCAGCCTGATCCGGTCCTTGGCCCGCTCCACATACCTTTGGTCGCTCCAATAATTTATAGAGCCTCTTCTGATCACTCTGGAAGAGACGATTCTGGTTGAACCGCCTTGACCCCTCGGAAAATCGTCTTTAGTCGTTTTTAATTATTATTATTATTATTATTTTTATTTGTTTTTATTTCTCCCTCTATATTGAGGGGTAGAAAACGGACACACGGGCCTTGACCAAGTGTGCACGCAGGAAAAAGAAAGAATTACAATGATGACGGTGATGAGTTAAGAAATTTACGTGTGAGACGACAGGTGTTAAGTAGGACTGCTTTTTGTATAAGTGCAAGAGTGGATTTAGGCATTTGAAGCATGTTGAGGCTGGTTTGAAGGGTCTTTGGAACTACACCGGTTGTAGATATAATGATAGGAATGATTTTTACGGAGTCTACTTGCCATTGTCTTTTTATTTCGATAGCCAGGTCCTATACTTTGTCATTTTTTCCGAATGTGTAGTAATGAGGTTGTGTGTGTTGCAAACTGCTATGTCTATTACGAAAACAGATTTTTTTAATTTTGTCTAGTATTGTTATGTCCGGTCTATTGTAATATATAGTCTTGTCTGTTATAATTGTCCTGTCCCAATATATTTTGACGGAATTACTTTCTAAAATAGTGCTGGGAATATATTTATAATAAGCGGCCTTTTTTTTAAAATGAATGAATGTTTGTGGGCCAGGTTTTGGTGGACAATTGCAGCAACTTGGTCATGTCTATGTTTGTAGTCAGTTTGAACTATAGATTTACATGCACCTGTAATATGTTGAATTGTTTCTGAGCTACTGTGACATCGTCTACATAAGTCAGTTGAATGGCTGGGAATATGAATAATATGTTTTTGATTGTTACGAGTATCTATTACTTGGTCCTGAATAGCAATCACAAAAGCCTCTGTCTCTGGGAAGAGTTCTCCGCGTCGGAGCCACTCGTTCGACGCTTGCCTGTCGACATGTGCTTGACCGAGATCGGCAAGGTGCCTACCATGCAGAGACTTTTGTGACCACAAATCTATTTTCTGCTGCCTACTTACTATTTTGAGCTGAAAATTTCTGTCATTTAGATTAAGAGGAGTTAGTTTTTTGTCTATACCTACAATATATTTGTGCAGTTGCGAATGTTTAGATTTTACATAGAAATATTTACGAAATTTGTCTATTAGACTGTTGTGTAAATTTTGTATATCGATGATGCCTCTCCCTCCATCCTGGCGTGGTAATGTGAGGCGTGTACATGATCTGGGGTGGTGTATTCTGTTTACTGTCATATTTGTATTAATTGTGCGTTGAAGTTTAACTAAATCACTCTGAGACCAATTTATTATTCCAAAAGAATAGATGAGAATGGGTATCGCGTAGGTATTTATGGCTTTTATAATATTGCTGTGAATTTATGAGCTTTCTTAATATATTTGGTTTATTCTAATTTTAAATTTTGTAGTTAAGTCTATTTTTGCTTGTTTTTGATGTATCTGTTTGGACTGATGAAATCCTAAATATTTATATGTGCTATGCTCGTCCATGGGCTCTATTTGTTCACCAGTACTGAGTATATATGTATTGTTTATTGATTTTCCGCGAATGATAGAATGTACTTTGCATTTATCAACACCAAATTGCATTTTTATGTCTGTAGAAAATGACTGTGTTAAGTCTGCTAGTCTTGTAAGTTCAGTGTTGTTGGTTGCATAAATTTTTATGTCGTCCATATACAGTAAATGTGACAGAATGTGATATGAGTTATTATATTTTAATTTAAAACCTACTTTAGTACTATTGAGTAATTCTGATAACGGGTTGAGGGCTAGACAAAACCATAACGGACTAAGAGCGTCTCCCTGGACTAAACCTCTTTGTATTTTTATTGATTC